GCACTTGTTTGAAGACAACCTCAAAACTCACCATTTCATATACCAGCAGTGCTACTGGACATTATTGTACAGTGGTCCCTCACTGTAACGCGGTTCACCTTTCGCGGACTCGCTGTTTCACTGATTTTCTTTCTTTAACAGCACATTGTGTTGTGCGTTCTGATTGCTGTAGACCATTGTCAATCAATCTAGTGCCGCGTATTTTTGTTTTAATTATTTAAAATTTTAACTGAAAATTTATGCGAAGTAACGGTGCTGTTAATTCTCATGTTGGCAATGCTGATAATGTGGGCGATGACCACGGTGAATGCAGTCACACACCATCCTCTACAGAATGGTTTGATGAAATTGGTGATATTGATGCCACACCTTCTGAAGGGCATTTTGACATTGATGAGCTTCTTTCACAATCTGTACTTTGGTATCAAGCAATTGACAGTGTTAATGACGACCTTCTATCGTCACCTACTGCACATTCTGATGCAACTGGTAGTCTTGATGTTGTGTCCTCTGCTGACCATTTTGACTCTCATGAGCATCCGCCTTCTCCTAGCGATGATTTTGATGCAGCTGTTGATGTATTAGATAATACGAATGAAAGTGACACTGTGCAGATTGGCGGCAGCAGTGGTGATGGCAGCGGTGGGGTTAGGAGTAGGGACATGCCTCATTTTAATTCCAGAGAACTGCGTCAGTGTCTTGATTTTAGAGAGACCGGTCTAGATAATCTGCAACAGGTTCCCTGCAGGGTGCGAGAGAGTTTAGCTAATTTAGGTAATTTAATTTAATTTAATTCAATTGACCAAGCCTTAGAAGATGCATGACATCTGTATAATCTGTATAATGGCATCTGTATAATCTGTATGATGACATCTGTATAATCCTCAAAATAGTAATAACAACCTGTGTTTTTGTCTGTGCTTGGCGCATGCTGTCAATGCTGAGGTGTCTGAGGATGATAAACTACTCTGTGCAAAGCAGCTACACATTGATGCAGGGCTCGACCCCAGGCAGCAGGTTTCTTTCACCAATGTCAGCAGTTTTAAAAAACAGCTAAATGTTAAAATCGTTATATTCCATCATACTGCAGGACGAAAACAGCTACAGTGTTTCAAAACACACAACACACCGCAGCCTCAAACCATATATATGTATTTACACGATGGTCATTATTATGTCATTGAAAGCACAACAGGGTTTTTTGGAGTTAGCTATTTTTGTAATTATTGTTATAGTACATATCAGACTCCACTGTGCCACACATGTAGATTCAGATGCAATGTATGCTTTACACTGTGTCAAAACTACCCGTCACAGACTGTGAAATGTGCAGACTGTAAACGTGTCTGTAAGTCACAGCATTGCTACCATCAACACAAACTAGTAGAACCGGTACATAATCTAATACTGTGTGATCATATGAAATACTGTGAAACATGTGGTACAGTATACAGGAAGTCAGACAAATCAGAACACAAATGCATGTACACTCTGTGGAGAACGCCTGGTAGACACTGGCATGAATCACGAGTGTTTTCTTCAGCCTGCTGAAATGAAACAACCTCATGAAAAATACATAATATAGGATTTTGAGACCCGGTATCATGACGGAAAGCATGAGGCCGTTTTTGTGTGCACAATGGATGTGCATGGGAAACATTTCTGTTTCAACAAATTAAATTGTGTGTCTGCATTCGTTGGGCACTACAGAAGATTTTCAAAACCTTGTTCCTTCCAAAAGACACCCTGGCATTGACTCATCACGGTGCGCATGTTGATCAGAATAAGACATTTTCAGACGTGTCTCTTGAATGGCTTCAATACGAAACAAAACATTGTTATCAAGCATGCTCTCAGAGGCAGCGAACAAAAAGTAGGACCTTATTTTGTGGATGGATTTGATGCTTCCAGCAGAAGTGCATATGAATTCGTTGGGTGTTTCTATCACGGCTGTCTCCGCTGCTACCCGGAGACTGATGTTAACCCTGCCGCCAAGCTGTCATATCGCGAGTTGTATCATGCAAGTTGTGAGAAGGTGAATGCTCTAAGAATGCATTATGGTCTTAATGTCGTGGTCAAGTGGGGGTGTGACTGGTCATCATTAAAGTCGACTGATCAGTCAGTCAAGGACTTTATGCACAAATACAAAAAGCCTGAGCCTCTGGACCCTAGAGACGCGTTGTTTGGGGGGAGGACTAATGCGATGAAACTGTACCACAAGGTTGATGATGGTGGAGATGAAAAGATCAGATACTATGATTTTACAAGTCTTTACCCCACTGTTCAGTGCACGAAACATTATCCAATAGGTCACCCTCAGATCATATCCAATCATTTTGACAGAGTTGAAAATTATTTTGGGTTTGTTAAGTGCACTGTGCTTCCTACAAGGGGTCTATTTCATCCTGTTCTGCCCTACAAGTGCCACAATAAGCTGATGTTTCCTCTCTGCAGAACGTGTGCTGAAGAGCAGCGCCAGCACAGTGATTGTGTGCATGCTGAGAGTGAGAGGCAGCTGTCAGGTACTTGGGTTTCCTTTGAGCTTGAAAAGGCTATTGAAAAAGGGTATCAGATTGTCTGCATCGCTGAAGTTTGTCACTTCCCTAATAAGACTGACACACTGTTTAAGCCGTATGTCAAAACATTTTGAAATTCAAGCAGCAGGCATCTAGATACCCAAAAAATGTCAAAACAGCTGAGGAGCAGCAGAACTTTGTTCAAGACTATTGTGAGAGAGAAGGCATCAGACTTGACCCTGCTAAGATTTGTGTAAACAAAGCAATCAGAAGTTGTAATAAACTGCTTCTGAACTCTCTCTGGGGGGATTCTGCATGTGAACAAATATGCCATCTTGCGAGCTGATTACAGACCCTGCCAGATTCACACAGCTGATGTTCAGTGACCATTATGACGGACGCCAGTTTTGTTTCATCTCCGATGATGTTGCAGTGGTTCAGTGGTGTCACGCTGATGGTAGAGGGTCGCGGGTGAAGGATGTGAATGTCTTTGTCGGTGCTATGACTACGGCCTATGCGAGGCTCACTCTGTATGACTTGTTAGACAAGCTGCAGGAACGCATTCTTTACTGCGACACAGATTCAGTTATCTTCACCTCTCATCCCGGGGAGTGGGTACCCCCTTTAGGACCATACCTCGGTGAGCTGACTGATGAGCTCAATGATGGCGGGTCTGGAGAGGATGATCACATTACTGAGTTTGTCTCTGGAGGTCCAAAATGCTAATGTTATTACACAAAACAGGGCAAGACTCAGGTTAAGTGTAAAGGTGTAACACTCAATGATGTTAATTCTAAAGTTGTTACCCACGAATCGTTGAAAGGCTTAGTCAAGGCATTTGTGGCCAACAGGGATGCGCGTTTAGTTGCAGAGTCTGACACCATCAAACGCAACAAGAAGAGGTTTCATCTCAGGAATGAAACAGAGAAACGGAGCTTCTTTACACTTCCTAAACCCCTGGGTGTGCAGGGTTGTGATATATTTTTCTCAGCGTGTTTTCCATAATCACTTTGACCAAACACAAACACAAATGACCAGAAAAAAGTGTTAGCATACGTTTTTATTTAATTTTCTGTGTAGTGCACAGTAAGGTTTTATAACAGATGCACATTAAATCTTGTGTCTCCCAGACCAGTAGTTTCCAATCATGTGGAGCAGCGCTGATTTAACTCCGCGGGTGTGATGATTGGTATTTAGCAGGTATCCGACATTCTCATCAGTGGTGCAAACAATGTGCGGCACTGATCTCAGTTCACACAGAAGACGCTCTGCAGTGCTGATGATTTGTGCTTTAGCCTCACTGACACTGTATGAGCAAACAAACAGACGGATGGCCGGGATGAATTGGGGCGTCCGGAGCTTTTCCATCACTATATTTAATTGAACAAACATACCCGCATGGCCCGGAAGTGCCCCTTTTTTGGATGAGTGAACGCGCGTGCATGAGAGTGCATGTGCACGTGCTCCTACGTGCGAAAGGTGCACCCCCCTCACAAAGGTGGTATATTCTTCTGGAGGGTTTTTGCAGCCTTCATCAGAGTTTCACAAGCCAATAGGTACGGTTTTTAAGTCCTATGCATTTATTGCTATGTCCTATGAGTGTGTGCTGTTATTGTATATTTATTGTGTATCATTTAATTTCCAATTCTTTTTGTATATATTGTGTGTTTTTACTGTTAGTTCGGCTGTTGCCTGTGCAAAGGCCAGACTGTGTGTGACTGCCCAGCAGGTAACGTTGAGGTTTCACCCGGTGCAATTGTGGCTCTTGTAACCATAAATGGTAAGTTGCTCTTTTGTCACACAGTACATACACAATAGATGTGTTTGCAGGTTTTAGTGCAAATTGTACATTGCTACATTGTTTTGAATTACCCTCGGCCCGCAGTATATGTGGGCACCTGTCAAAGGTCATTTGGATTTACCAGACCGCTTTGAAAACAACATGAAATCTTCACAACATGAAACAAATGTCTTTGTTGAGCCATGACTGGATTTCTCCTTATCCTTCCTAAAGGCCGTTATAACCTTGCACTGCCAGTGGTGAGCTGCACCAGCTGTGGCCTAATGTGGTCCCCCTCAGTTAAGGACTTCCAGGGTGGTGGATATTGGCCTGGCACCTTAAATTTCTGCACCCTGTTTTCAATGGATGTCTTTCAGTCTTTCTATGACATTAAGAAGCTGCAGCAGGGATGTCACTTAAGGCGTTTGTCAAAGTGCTGGATGAAAGAACAGCCCATTTTGGAAGGGTGAGTTTCTAAATTTGTCAAGTTTAAGGAAATTGTGCAAACCAATGTTTATGATGACTGTCCTTGAATATTCTGTTGTTTGTCCTCTACTTAAAAGACTGGCCGAATATCAGCTGATGCCTTCAGTAAAAGTTTCTTGGAGTGGAGTGCTGTAAAGTGTGAGGTGGACAGGATGTGAAAGGAGCCATGCTTTAGCTGCCCTGCCTGCACTCCAGACATGCTTGCCGTGTCAGTTGATGGAAACCGCAAGCTTTATCGCTTTCAATCAAATGCAAGGTACGTTATGCATTGTGGGCATAAATCAAATATGGATTTGTACAAAAATTGTATTTTGATGTTTCTTTTATAATAATAATGGATTGGATTTATATAGCGCTTTTCAAAGCACCCAAAGCGCTTTACAATACCACTATTCATTCACTCTCACATTCACACACTGGTGGAGGCAGCTACAGTTGTAGCCACAGCTGCCCTGGGGCAGACTGACAGAAGCGAGGCTGCCATATCGCGCCATCGGCCCCTCTGGCCAACACCAGTAGGCAAGTAGGGTAAAGTGTCTTGCCCAAGGACACAACAACCAGGACAGAAAGCCCGGGGATCGAACCGGCGACCTTCCGGTTACAGATGCGATTTCCAACCCCCTGAGCCACGGTCGCCCCTTTTCAAACAACTGTCACTGTGTTCATTCAGCACTTCAGAGCAGGGGAACTTTGAAGGTGTCTTCATTGAGAAAGATGAGGAAGTTGCTGAGTTTGTGAAATACATCCAGAGACACACAAATGATGTAAGATACACATATATATCAGTGCTGTCAGCGTTAATCTTGTTAAAATGACGTTAATGCCATAACCTTATACTCATACGTGTGTGTGTGTGGATACATATTTGGATGGGTGGATATTTATTTTGTTTTTCTCTTGGTGTTGTCGTAATACTATTTACTTGACTTTATCTTAATGCATACTTCATTTTGTCACCATGTGTATTTAAAAAATAAAAATGTGGTTTCTATGAGGTGTTGTGTGAACGTGACTTAAGGCTAATTCAGCTAATTCTTTTGCATTTGTGTTAAAAAAGTTTGTCCCTGATAGGGCGTAATCACGTCATGTCTTTGAGTGTGTAGGTCCCAGGGAAAGGGTTGTGTGGATCTTCATCTTGGACTGCAGCAAAGGAGTCGAGCAAAAAGTCCACTGGGAAGTTGGATGAAGAGGGCATGGAAATAGCTGTTTGTTTGCTGTTAGTCCTCCTAGCTGCATTGAACATGTTTTGAGGGGAGATCTTTGCTTACCCCCTTTTTCTCCAGAGGAAGTTGGCAGCTAGCGTCCCAGGACATATTATGTTCCTTTGCTCCGATGTGGCCTGTAAATATTTCCCATATTTAAACAACGTGGCCTGAGCTGAGGAACCTCTTGTCAATGCGTCCTTTTCTCTCCGTCATGCATGCAAAAGCTCTCACTTGGAAATGCGAGGTATACTGCAGCTTGTAGTCTTGGATACGTTTAAGACATTTTGTTATAAGGTTGAATGAATTCAGCAGTCATGTATTGTGACCTCCTTTCTATAGATCAAATGGGGAGGTGCGTTTCAGGATGGGGACGGTTCTACAGTTGGAGAAGAGGTGGAACAAGTAAACAGTTTCCTGTCTAGGGCGGCCATCACAACGAAGTACATGTCTAAAGCAGGTGTGTGTCTGTGTGTGAGATTCCACTCAGTCTCCTGCTCATTCATTCTTATTTGTATACTAACTGAAATGCAGGGCGAACAGACATGCTGAGCCTCCTGGCTTTGGGCTGGAACAAAAGGAAAGTGGAACAACTGGGCCGCACTTTGAGCCAGAGATATCTAAAGGTCATTTTTTCAACACCCATTTTAATGTGTGTGGTAATGGGGCAAAAACACCAGTACTCTAAAAATTTCAATATGAATGACATTTATTAATGTATTCTTAGATCATAAGGATCCTTAGAGAACAAGTGGAGAGCCTGAATGCGAGCAGAAATGAGCTGGGTGTGGATGACGACACACTGCAGCAATGGGCTGAAGGTGAGTCTCAATATAATGCACTCGTGTATAACAACAGGACCCACCATGGCCTCATTAAAGAACTCAGAGTTAAGATCTTTCTGACAGTGTCAACAAACAATGAAAATAAGCATGGATTATTTTGTAGTGAAGTTATTTTCCGACTGATTTTGCCTTCCCTCAGTCTTGGTTGTCTTTGAGAGCATAATGACAATGAAGTGTAAGGTGATTGGTATGTTTGTTAATTGCCATTTGGTCCCTTGTAAGTTATAAGTGACCTGTATAAACCTCATATTCTATCAGTTGATGGTGGTGGTGTACTGCATCTGGTGCAGCCTCCTGTTGAGCCAGACCAACATGCAGTTGTGAGTAATACTCCACAGATTATATGAGTTTACAGTAGAACAGCAATGTTGTCTATTTCTTTACTACAGGAAAATAATGAAGAAACATTGACAGCTGTTACAGAGGAGGAAGCAACAGAGACACTTTATGAGGTCTACATCTTTTAATACTTTGTGTACAGGAAATACAGGCGACCAATAAAGCCAGTTGAACAAAAAATCTGTTTATTCTTCTTTCAACATGTTGAGGTGATGGGTCAAAGGAAATGATTGTGACATATGGTGTCTCTGACTGCGCTTCCATCTTGTATGTCTGTGGGAGGGTCAGGATGTTCATGGTTTGGATCACTGCTGATGTTTGGTTCAGAAGGACAGTGTTCTCCTCTAATTGTGGCAATGTTGTGAAGAATCACACATGCCACAATAATGTCACATGCCCTTTCTGGGGTGACCCTGAGTCTTTGCAAGCACTGGAACCGGGCCTTAAGCATTCCGATAGTCATTTCAATTCTGGCTCTTGTCCTGCAATTAGCCAGATTATATCGCTGCTGTGGGCACGGTTCAGGGTCAGGGTAAGGGGTAAGCAAATAGGGTAAACATGGATACCCCCTATCACCAAGCAAGTAGCCAGTGAACTCTCCTAAGACAGAAGGATACACTTCAGTTCAAATGTCCCTGAAGCAATTGGTCTTTATATATTTTAAAGTATTCTCAACTCACCATGTCCAAATTTTGTGCTCAGTGTACATTCACGGAATATTTGTGAGTCATGGACAGAGCCTGGCCACTTGGCTTCCACATTTGTGATAATGTTGGCAGCATCATATATGATCTTCACAGTGCAGAGAACACAAATTAGCATCCATTACTATAATGAAATAATTTGTTAGTTTGAAATGCTACAGGGAACTATGTACCTGTACATTGATGCTGTGGAAAGACTTCCTGTTCACATAGTCTCCTTCATTTACTGAAGGAGCAATGATTGGAATGTGAGTGCCATCTGTACAGCCAATCACGCCTGGGAACCCTGAAAATAAATGTACAAAGAAATGGCTTAGTGCGAAAATTCCATCACTGGGTGATTGGCATGAGACTGTACATAGGATGTTTAAAATGGAAAGAATTACCTTAATTAAAAGACTCCAGTTTGATATAATTAGTGAAATTTGGGGTAAATGGAAACACTACATCCGGTTAAGGAGACCCGATCTTGTTTGAATCTCTGTAACTATATATGCCACATTTTTGAATCGTTATGTGTTTATATGTATATGTTAGTATGTATGAGACTACAAGTGAACACATATGTAAGTAGTAGGGGTGCAACAATACACAAAATTCACGGTTCGGTTCGGTTCGATACTTTGGTGTCACGGTTCGATATTTTTTCGATACAAAAAAAATGTTCATGCCTTTTTAATTTGTCATTTATTAAATTTTCACGGCACATTCCGCACCACATCTCTGTGCGTTCATCATTTGTTTGAAGCCAGCTCACCTCCTGCAACTACTTTTCCGAGAATACATGCTTCTTTTGTGGTTCGGACTCCTTCTGACATTTCTTTGGAGGTGGAGGAACATCACAGTAATTGCTTAAAGGAGCTTCTTCGACATCTTTAAGAGTTCTAAACAAATGTCTGTCCTCCTCCTGAAAATCTTATGTATGCAAACACGCGTTGCAACTTCTTATCTTGTGCCCGTTTTTTATTTTGACAGCGAATGCGCACCTGCGGACCACTTATGTGCAGCCCTGGTTATTTCGCTTGTCATATTGCAGCCACAGAAATTCTTTTGTCCATGAAACCATAAAGCTGTACTTTCTTTTTGCCTTATAGTCTGATTTGTCATAACTTTTCCGTTTTGTGGTAAGCTTTTCTTTGGCTGTCACTTCTTCACCATGACCTGTCTTATTTGGCTCAGCAGAACTAAAATATTGTGGCGAGCTCAGACAAGGAGGAGACGGAGGTATCGTTTGGTCTTGCTTCCCGTGAGCTAGCCAGGGAGCACAGCAGTTTATTGACATCTGCAGAAGAACACTGCCGCTAGCTAACTGCTCTGCGCGGCAACAGCACAGCAACAACAACAACACACAGGGCGCCCTCTGACCCCGGAAGGACACACCGTCACAGCGAGAGGGCGTCACCCGTCACTATGGCAACATAAACAAAACATAACTGTACAAACAGAACCCCGAACAGCCCTGACCCGCTACAATATATATATCCTGCAGCTTTTACACACGCACTCACATAACGCTCAGCGATTCTCTGCGCGATCAACCTCTCACATGTTTAAGCTTGCTGCGGGAGATTTCACTTGTCATGTTTGCATAGTAAGCTAACGATTGATAAGACAACGTCAGAGGAATTGGTGCGCAAATTATCATCACTCACCAATCAGTGCTGTCGCTCTCTATACACAGTTCGCGCAATTGCAAAGTGAAAGCAAAAAACAAGCGCAAAAAACAAGCGCAAATTCAAACGCGATTTCAATATGTCACATATTGGCAGTGGCTCACCGATGCCAATGACATAATTACCCAGCTACATTTCCGAAAGAATGCAAAAGCATTGACATAGATTTTTCCTTCCTACGATAGCCTGACGGGCAGGGCAGAGATAGATTTTGGTAGCCCGACTGGAAAAATCGCTAGCCCCGGGCAGGCGATTTTGCGAGCCCTGTATCTGATTGAGGAATCACTCATCTTTGGAAAAGAGAGTTTATTACAGAGAAATGGCTCTTTCCAAAATAAAAGCTATAGTATACGCTTCTTCTGGGCTATATTCTCAGCAGCATATTAAACATATCAGGTCCCCATAAAGAGAATCATGTGCTAACGGCTGTCTAAATGACTCGGGTAAAGTTTGTAGCATGCGTGCTTGTTGTTTTTGTCTGCTTCCACTTGTCTTTGCACTAGGATGATGTCGGTTTAAATGTACAGTCATATTTGTTGTGTTCCCACTAGTGCTGTCAGCGTAAATCTCGTTGAAATGACGTTAACGCCACAACATGGCAAATCTCCGTTAACGAGCTACCGCGGATCCCCGTGCATGGGGCTGGAAGGCCAACACCTTAACGAGCTAACTGCGCTAACACACTAGCTCCCACCCATGTAATTGAGCATTGCGTGGCACATCCAACATACTGTTTTACTTTAGTCCATGACGCGCTTACCTTCAGGGTCATACGTCACATGAAAACCAAAATAGTTCCAAACGCCAGATCTGAATGAGGGTGGGGAGGTTCAATTTGCCATGTTGCAAGGAGAGCTTAACTTCTGTCTGCTAGCTTGCCCTGCGCTCAGTGAATCTGCGTTCGACTACTCCGCCTAGGCTGCACTGTCGAGCGCAGATCCACTGAGCGCTCAACACAGACAGCATCGTCAGAAGGAAAGTTGATAAAACAAATTAAAAACTTATTTTGTATTGTTCGATACATATGCCTACCGAACCGAAAGCACTGTATCGAACGGTTCAATATCGATACGAGTATCGTTGCACCCCTAGTAAGTAGGTATGTGTATGTATGCTTAAGAATATGGGTGTGTGAGTGAATATGTGTGTGCGAGTACATACACACTAGAGGGTACACCCGTCTGTTTTTTTTTTTTTACGTCTGTTCTTGATTATATGTTTATTTTGGATTATTTGTGTTTATATAGGTTGTTTAATAAAAAGAGAATAACAAAAAAAAAAATAAATAAATAAATGTACAATTTAAGTAGTAGTCCAAGTATCACCACATCATAAATTAAGTTTTGGTCATCCTGATACCTGCAATTTTGTGGCATCCCTCTTTGATAAATCTTGTGGGTCTATGACCGGGGAACACCACAAACGAGTACAGGAGACGTTTCAGTGCAACTGTAACATTCCTGACTGCCCGACAGACGGTAGCCTTGGAAACGTGCTCAGCGTCACCAATATTATACAGAAAGCTCCCGTTTGCAAAAAACCGAAGTGCAATACAAATAATATGTAATGAACTGAGAGGATGTCCGCGATGTGTCACATGCGTAATATATGGCCTGAGGATGTTATCCAAATAACTTAGAGATTGTGCTGAGAAACGGTAACGTTCGCACAGAAAATCATCAGGAAATGATAAAATGTCCAAACGCGCTCTGATCACTCTCTCCCGGCGGTGAGCTCTGCGGAGAATTTGGGCTTCACGATCTACTGGCTCTTCAAGGAAGTGGCACGCCATGTCCGACACTTCCTACTGTCG